CGGGGGTGGGTGTCTTCTCTGAGGGAGGGCTCCAGTGACCCCACATCGTGTGGGTGCTGGATGGTGGCCCTGGATTGGTCCGAGCCCACAGTTAAGGATTTGGGTTTGACATATGGGCTCCAGGCGTGCTTCTGCTTGGGTTTCAGCCTGTGTGAATGGGCGTGTAGTGGTGCCTGCCTCACAGGGCGATGGCATGCCAGGGCCAATGCGGGGTGCCTGGCCCCTAGTAAGCACTCAGGGTGCCCTGGCTGAGAGAGGCAGGGAGGGAAGACAAGAAGCTTTAGGAAGGCTTCCTAGCTCTGACCGGTGTGGCTCAATGGATAGAGCGTTGGCCTGCGGACTGAAGGGTCCCAGGTTTGATTCCGGTCAAGGGCATGTACCTTGGTTGCGGGCGCATCCCCAGTAGGGGGTGTTCAGGAGGCAGCTGATTGATGCTTCTCTCTCATCGATGTTTCTAACTCTCTCCTTTCCTCTCTGTAAAAAATCAATAAAATATAATAAAAAGAAGGCTTCCTAGAACCGAGGTTTCGGGAGGGCTCTCTGTGCACACTGGTGGCCGTGACCCAGTACTTTCTTTAATACTCACCCCAGCCACACGAGAGGCTCACAGGCTCGGGGTGAGTGGCTTGCACTAGGTCACACCCAGTGAGTTGGTGGCAGAGCCAAGGCCCAAACTACCCTTGGCACCACGTGGACCTGACTCTGGTGGCCTCATGGGAAAGGACTTCTTGCACTCAGAGTGGTCATTGGTGGGGAGGAACCAGGTGCCTGGGTGCCTGGGTTTCCCTGAGGAGCAGGTGTTTGAGAAACCGGTGCCTCCTCCACCCCAACCCCACCTTCACAGCGGGTCATCCGGAGCCGCAGCCAGTCCATGGATGCCATGGGACTAAGCAACAAGAAGCCCAACACCGTGTCCACCAGCCACAGCGGGAGCTTCGCACCCAACAACCCTGACCTGGCCAAGGCCGCTGGAATAGTGAGTGCCTCCCCGGGGCCTTAAGCTCTCCCCTCCCCCAGGGTCCTGCAGCCTCAGGGTCCTCCATCCTGGGCTCCGGACTCCGTCTAGCGGCTAGACTCTAGCCACTGCTCTCCATGGGGGGCAAGGGCCCAGGCCATGCTGCGGTGCCGAGAGCCTTCCGTCTCCTTCCCAGCTTCTGGGCCCTCCACTCCTCCTGGCCCCTTATTCAGGGTGACTTCGGGTCAGCTCTGGGGCAGCCTCTGTATCACATTCCTCATTGAACACCTACTGTCTATCGTGTGCTGGGAGTTGGGCTGCTGTGCGGGCACCTACTTGAATTTCTGGGAGCACCTACTGTGTGTCAGGCTGTGGGCATGCACTCTATGTCAGGACCTGGATTTCTGTGTGAGCACCTGCTGTGTGCCTGGCTCTGGAACACTGGTGGCGACCTGGGTTGTTGTGTGGACATGTACTCTGTGAGCACCTACTGTGTGTCAGGTCCTGGGCTGCTGTATGGGCATAAACTCTGTATGCACCTACTGTGTGCCCGGCCCCGGGCTGTTGTGTGAGAACCTCTGTATGTCAGAAAATGGACCGCTGAATGAGCACATCGTGTGTGCTAAGCCTGATGTGTCAGGAAGTGAGCTGTTGTGTGAGCATTTACTCTGCGAGCACCTACTTCCGTGTGCCTGGCCCTAGGCTGCCGTGTGAGCGCCTGTGTGCCAGGGCCTATGTGGCTGTGGCTACCTAATGTGTGTCAGGAATTGTGTGGGCTTCCGTGTGAGCATCTCCGGAGTGAGTACCTACTGTGTGATTACTTACTGTCTGCCAGGCTCTGTGGGTTTCTGCTACTAATAACACTCAGGGTGGGTGCTGGGCACACAGGGTGGGCAAGGCGTTCAGTTGTGGGCCTATCTGCTTCCTGCCGCCCCGTGGCCACCCCTGGCACTGCACCCACTGCTGCTCCCCCTCTCCATCCACCCTTCTTTATCCCCCCATCCCTCCATCCATCATTTATTGACTGCTGCATGCCAAGCCCTGTGCTCAGTGCTGTGAGACTGTGTCACTTGTGGTGAGAGGGACCTTCCACCCCAATTCCTGCCCCACGATCTGGCCTGGCCAGGGAGCAAGGTCCTCTGCTGTCCAGCAGTCACCAAGCCCACCCTCCCCCCAACCCGGATTTCCTTGCTGGAGTGGCCCCGCCTCCCTGGGTGGCTGTAGAGGGGCCCCAGAGACAGGGCCAGGCCAGCAGCACCCACCATGGCAGTAACCAGACCCATTTTTGTTTTTGTTTTTGTTTTTACACAACTCTCCCCTCTCTTCATGTTGCTTCCTTTCCTTCCGCTCTCTCCTCTCTCCTTGTTCTCTCCCCTCTTTCCTCCTGCCCTTGGCCTCTCTGCACTTCTTACATGTTTATGTGTCTCCTGGCCTCTGGCACTCCCTCTCCTCCTCCCTGCCATACTCTCTCCCTTGCTTTTTCCTTTTTGCCTCCCCCTTCCTTCCCATTTCTGTCTGTCTCCTCCCATCTCTGTGTCTGTCTGTCTGTATTCACTCTGTGCCCCTCTCGTGGGCTCCTCCTGTGTGTTCCTGTTTCTGTATAACCGTCCATTTGTCCATGTCTCTGTCTCCCCCCCCCCTCCTCTCCTTCCCTTCCCCTGTCTTTTCTTTCTGTCTCCCAATCCCCTGCCCCACTCCCTTCTTTGTTTCTCTGTCTTTCGCTCTTTTCCCTGTTTCCCTTCCCTCCATCTCTCTCTCTCTCTGACCCTCTATGTCTGTCTGTCTGTCTGTCTCTGCCCCTTCCTCTGCTGCTTGCCAGTCATTGCTTATTCCCGGGAAAAGTGCGAGTAGATTCGGACGCCGGGGCAGTGCCATAGGCATAGGAACCGTGGAAGAGGTTGTCGCCCGTGGGGCCAGCGGCTCTGGAGGCTGCCTGCACGCGCTGCTCTCTGCTCGCTCTCAGGACGAAGGCCATATTGGGGATGATGCCCTCTTCCCCTGGGACAGGGCCAAGGGCATGCAGGTCGGAGTGCTCGCAGCTCTGATGCACCCAGCACCTGCTTTGGGGCCTGGTACCTGTGCCAGAGCCAGTGCCCCCGCCAGAGCTCCTGGCCCTGTCTTGGCCCCTGGGTTCCTGTCCAGTCCCTGCCAGGATCTGAATACTCAAAAGACTCTTCTGCCCAGTTGCACGTTCCCCCAATTACGGCAGTTTCTTGCATGAGGTTCATCCC